TTAGTAGCCCCAAAGTGGAAACAACCCAAATTTCCACCAGCAGGTTTATGGAGAAACAAATGATAATATGTCCATATGTAGGAACACCACTCAGCAATCAAAAGGAATGATACAGGCAACCATGTGGGTAAATATCAAAATAATTACACTGCATGAAAAAAGCCAGACCAAAAGGAAAGAATGAGTACATGCCGTGTGGTTCCATCTATAAAATTCTAGAAAATACAAACAAATCTATAGTGACAGAGCAGTGATATTCTGAGGATGGGGTGGAGTGAAGAGGGGAGTGGTGTACCAGGGAACTCCAGGGGTGACAGATACGTTCTCTATCTTTTTTTTTTAAGATTTTATTTATTTGACAGAGAGAGACACAGCGAGAGAGGGAACACAAGCGGGGGAGTGGGAGAGGGAGAAGCAGGCTTCCCGCAGAGCAGGGAGCCCGATGAGGGACTCGATCCCAGGAGTCTGGGATCATGACCTGAGCTGAAGGCAGCCGCTTAACGACTGAGCCACCCAGGCGCCCCTGCTCTCTATCTTGATTGTGATGATGATTTCATGGGTCTCCATGTATTTCGAAGCCTATAAAAATACACATTTTGAGTATGTGCAGTTTGTTCTATGTCAATTATACCTGAATAAAGTGGTGTTTCAAAGGGGCTTGACCTTGAAAAGAGGTGGAAGAAACCTAAGTGCCTATCACTAAGTGAAAGAAGCCAGCCTGAGAAGGCTAGGCAGTACATGATTCCTCCTCTGTGACATTCTGGAAACGACAAAACTATGGAGTTCGTAAAAAGATCAGTGGTTGCCAGGGGTTAGGGGGAGAGAGGGATTGGGAGGTAGGAGCTCAAGGATTTGGGGGGGGGCAACGGAACTGTTCTGCAGGACTGAATATCCACTGTACTGGTGGGCACACGTCATCTCACGTTTGTCCAAACCCAATGAATATGTGACACCAAGAGTGATTTGTAATATAAACTATGGATTTTGGGTGACTATGAGGTCTCAATGTAGGTTTGTTGTAACAAATTTTCCACCCTAGGGTGGGATGTTGATAAGCAGGGAGGTTGTGCATGTGTGGGGACAGCAAGTACATGAGAAATCTCTGTACCTTCTTCAGTTCGATTTTTCTGTGAACCTAGAACAGCTCTGTAAGATAAAGTTTATTTTAAAAAGTGGCTTGAACAACTGAGATATTTGTTATCTCTTACATCAGGGGCCTGAGGTGGAGGGAGGGAAGCAGCTTCAGTGAGGCGGTGAATGTAAAACACTGCAAGGCTTCAGTATTGAGACAGCGGGAATGATCCAGATCTTTAATTGTAAAGGCTACTGCTTGGATGACCTCAGAGAAACACTTGGGGATATCACTCTGAGATTAAAAGGAGAGAGTTTTGGAGCAGAGACCACACCACTGGACTCACGGGACAGCATTCTCTCATTGTTCATTCAACATATGAAGCTTAACTACCTCTTACGGGTTGCTCAGGAAAGACTACCGCCATTTTTAAGGGGCTAAAAGCTACTAAATGGCCAAAATGAGGGCACTTGTCTGTGCCAGGCCTTGTAGTCTCACAGAACACCCACTCCCTGGCTTGTTCTCCAGAGATCCCTGGCCTGGATGAATCACCAGTCTGAAGGGAACCTTGTATTTTCCGTGCTTCCTGACTCATCAACACCAGAATCACCTCTGGGGCAGAGATTTTTGATGGCAGGAGGAAGAATGTTAGATGCTCCCGACCCTAGGCTCTTATAGGAATTTCAGCAGTGACTGACTGCTCCTTGTCCCACACTACAGGCGGAATCCTAGACAAGCCCACGGTCACCAGGCTCTGGCCTTGGAATCAGGATGGTTGCTGCTCATCGGGCCCTCTCAACCATTGCTGTTCTGAAGCTATTTATCTCAGGAGTAGAGAGACTCTCAAATTGTCCAGTCTACTAATTGCCCACGTTCAAAGTCATTAAGGAATCTTGAAGCTAACTCAGGTTAAAATTCACAGCTGAGCATAACTTTCCTTCCCATTGTCTGAGTTCCCTGGAAGCCCAGGAAAGAAATCTTGGCAGCAACCGCTGAATGTCAGCATCCCAGCCCCTCAACCTTAAGTGGCACCCACTTTTAGGAGTCTCTAAGGTCTGAACCCAGTTGGCCGCTATTATTCCAAAGCTTGGGCACTGCTCTGGGGCTCCCTGGGGGGCTTCACTAATGGCGAATTAGTTTCTTCCTCCTGGTGCTTCTTTTAGCAGCTGCTCCCAGATGTGCTCTCCACAAGCTGGCGACCCATCTCCCTTCCCTACTTTCTGAGCAGAGCCCCCCCCGCCACCCCAAGCGGATTGAGCCCATCCTCAGTGGCTTTCCTTCTTCTCTCCTTATCTCACCTCTGATATTACTAAATTTTCTCTGTTCTTCAAAAACCAATGGGGCGCAGTTGGTTAAGCATCTGACTCTTGATCTCAAGATGGTGAGAGCGAGCCCCTGTGTCAGGCTCTACTCTCAGTGCAGAGTCTGCTTGAGATTCTCTTTCTCCCTCTCCCTCTCCCCCCACTCATGCTCGCTCTCTCTCAAATAAATAAATAAAATCTTTTTAAAAAATTAATTCAAAAACCCCACAAAACCACTGCTTCTGGACTACTATCTTCTCCCGTCTCCACTTCTACCCCCAACACTACTACAAAGTAAAGAGGGCTTGCCCCTCTTCTCACTTCTGGCTCACTCCCAGCCCTCTACTGACATGGCTCTTCCAAGAGCACAGTGACCTCCTGATCACCGAAGTCCAGGGCCATTTCCTGGGCTTCATTCTTCTTCCCACCTTCGTGATCTCCAGCCTGCCTCTGGTTCTCCATTCCCTGATCCATCCCTTTCTTGGGGTCCCCAGTGTTGCTTCTGGATTCCCCCATCAGGCCCCCTCACTGAAGTCCGGACCTTCTTGTTCAAATGAAAACACCTTCTTCGGTGGCGCTCTTCACCTTCGGGATGGAGTTGCCCCCTGACGCAAGGGCTGTGCCTCTGGCAGGCTTGTCTGCCTCACTTGTGACCGCCGGTTTCTAGTGCCTTCACTTCAGTCACATCCAGATTTTTGCAACTCTCTCATTTGTCTCCATGCATTTATTTGCATGTGCCATTTTGTTCTGTCTGGAAGCCTCCCTTCCCCCCACCGCCACCCTTCCAAAGGTTAAGACTTGCCTCTCCGCCTTCTCTGCATGGGTTCGGTGAGTTTGGTGAGTCCGCAGAAGCCCTGGCCCTTTGAGTCCCAGGCTGGCACCCCATAGCCCAGTACCCATCAACCCAGCCCCTCACTGCTGCTTTTCTCCCTGATACCGTCTCCCTCTGAAAATCCATCTGGGCTCAGAGTTTCAGCTTGCAGCTCAGTTCAACAGAAATGCTCCGGATGCTATGCTGCAGGCACTCTCCGGGCTAATTCTCAGCTCTCTGCCTTTATCCCTCACATCCTCTCCTAAGCCCAGGACCACGTTCCTGGTTGTTCACAAGATGAATATTTCAATCCGGACATCTCTCTGGGACCTTATTTTTCCAAACACATTCCCTACGAACCTCCAAGCTCTATGTGGGTCAGGTGGAAATTTTCGATTGTCACCGATTCCTTTCTCTCCCCTAGCTACCAATTCTGTCCATTCACTCTCCACAGCCTAAACAAACAAATAAAACCCTATGTTTTGTCCTTCCTTTCTGTTACTCGGATCTGGTTGTGATGGTTATTCTGGGTCAGTTTGGCTAGTGCCTAGATATTTGGCCAAATACTAATATGGATGTTGATGTGAAGGTGTTTTTTAGATGATATTGACATTTAAATCAGTAAACGTAGAGTAGTGATCCTCTATACTGTAGGTGGGCCTCATCCAATCAGTTGAAGGCCTTAAGAGGGAAAAAGACTGAGGTCCTCCAAGAAAGAGGGAATTCTGCCTGCAATTCACCTTCGGACTCAAGTTACAACACCACCTCTTACTTGGGGCTCTTGCCTGCTGGTTCACACTGCCAATTTGGTACTTGTCAGGCCCAACTATGTGGGTCAATTCCTTAAAATAAACCTCTTTCTCCATACACACATTCCCCCATTGGTTTCATTTCTCTGGAGAACACTGACTAATACACTGGTCCTACCTCCTGACTCAGCCCCTTGCTCCCTGTACCCACTCCCCTCCAATCCACCGCATTGAAAAAAAATCAGTGAGTTTTTTTTTTTTTTTTGTAACGTTAATTTGCTCACAACATTTGCTGGATACCTGTTGTTCATGATGAATAGATATGTCTCCCAAACATCATACATTTGGGTATCTTCCCCATGATGTTTGACCTGAGTTTTCTTTTTCTTTTTTACCTAAGTTTTCAGTGACCCATCATCTATCCACTTGTTTATTTTGTATTTTTCTTTTTATCAACCTTTCTGCATTTTGGCAGGAATCCATGGATTTTAAAATAAAATCTCCTCCACTTGTAGGTCTCAATCGAAAGGTGAAGCACAATTTTGTAGGAGGGTTTTGAGGTTTCCTTAACTCCCTCAACCATACAAGCTGATCCTCTTCACTTGGAAGCTAAATTTCCAAGATGGTAAGATTGAGATGGGTTACGCAGACAATGACACCTGTCTTGGGTCATCGGTGCAGAGGTGGCTCCTTCATGCCCCTGGGACTGTTGATGGCAGTGGGGATGGTGAAGATTGTCACTGTCCCCTTGCTGGGGGTGGGTTAGGGAGAATAAGAGGGAGGGAGAAAAGGACAGAGGGAAGAAACCCTCCACATGTTCGAAACTCACTCTCCTGTGTTTGAAAATGCCCTATTTTGTTGTTTGCTAGAATTGAATTCTGGAACATCCATTCTGGGGAAAATACTGGAAAGAAATATGGAGTTTCTTTGTATCAATTATCCCCTTTGTCAATATTATGACTTAGTCACTTTGTGGGGGAAATAAAGATGCTGATTCAAGGCGATGTGACCCTCTCGTCACTTCTAGTTCCTTTTTTCCTGTTGTATATCAAAACTCAGAGTCCGTGGGAAGGGCACTTTTGCACTCACAGAAGAACCTGAGAGGAACCTGTAAGTAAACTTTTTGAAAATTCTGTTCTTGGAATTGCTTTTTTTAATGAAAAAAAATAGTAAATTGGAATAAACAGTTGAGACAGGACGATACTTTAAGCTCCTCCTCTACCTCAGACAGTTTATCTGTGTACAGAAATACCAGAAAGAAGTCTTTGTGGATGCTGGCCTGAGGGATCCGAATACCCTCATCTCGGAGCATGATTATCCTCTGAACAGAGCAGCTTGGGTTAACTTGCCCATTTCCCAGCTTTTGAAGAATTGATGCCTGTTGGCCGAGCCTCCGGGTGGTGGCGAGGAGCAGGGCTGGCCCGGCCGGCCTGGAAGGCTGCCAGGCCTCATGGACAACGCCCTGCACAATGACAGACTGAACTGAGCCCTAAATGCTCTTCTGTTTACCTGGTAGCTTTCATTAATCTTTCCTTTCTTGTGTGAAGTTTGCTTTCACAGAGGAAGGCATTTGCTGGCTTTCCCAAGGCAAGAACAATGAAAAGAAATGAGGAATTCATTCCACCTCAAAAGGAGGCCTCTGTGCTTGCTCAAGCTCTTTTGGCCTCCTGAGAGAACAGTGTGTTCCCAAGCAAACTAGAAGTTTGTGAAGGAAGGAAGGAAGGAAGGAAGGAAGGAAGGAAGGAAGGAAGGAAGGAAGGAAGGAA